GTTGATGATTTCAAGTCTCCTGGGAGCCCCTCAGCATTTTTTCCAGTTTCTTCAAACATCTGGGCAAAAAGAAGTCAGACTTTATGGAAGACATTGATCCTAGAATTTCAGTTCTCTCTGCCATTCTAAAACTGAAATCTAAGAATCAGCAACTTAATAAAAATGTAGTAAATTAGCACCTCTAGACAAGAGCAGAGTTCATTGAGAGCTGGGGTCTGCCTGACTGAGCCAGTACTCTCTCCATTTTAATAGTTTAATAAAAATTAGCATAATTAACGAACATCTGTATGATCCAGAGTGGTGCAATTTGGCACTTGGAAACGAGGGCTTAAACATGATTGCTGTGAGTTTAATGTTGTTTTAATTCTTTTTGGCACTGTGCAGTGAAATAAACGTTTGGTGGTGATAGTTCTCGGCCGGATCTCATTTGCATTTTTCTCCCTTTGATTATGAGCAATTGTGGACTCCCCAGCAATTCATCAAAGTAGAAATTATTTTAAAATACCTCGTGGTGTTCAGACTGGGCTGGAGCAATGCATGGGGGGTGGTAGAGGGAGAGAAGACTAGAAATTTTCCATTCATGCTTTAAACAACTCAGCCCTGCAGCCCTTCTTGGGTATCCAGCCAAGGGATGAAATCTGGAAAAGATAGTCAGATCCCAGGACCTGTAGGTGCTTTGATTAAGCTCCCAGGCTCCCACAGCAGGGTACATATGGTCTCTGAGACTGTGCCATCCTCCTTATACTTCTGCCTGCTCTTTTGTTTTGAAGGGCAGAGAGTTGATTTCACTCATTTCAGTTCTCACCACCATGGTGACGCTACTGCATCTGCAGTCGGCAGGGTCAGTGTTCCCCTCCAGCAAAAGCGAACTGACTGGGAGCTGGTGCCCCGCTGAGCCTCATCTGCTTTCTGTTTGCATCCTCTTCAAGTTGGCAGGGAGCACCTTCCCGAGGCTTGGTTCCTACTTCTGGCATTATGGCTGAAGGGGAGGAAGGGGGTGCTGTGAAGTACAAGTCAAAGTCAGAGGACTTGAACAGTCCCTAGGGAGTGGCTGATGCCTTCTCTGCGCCCCTGTAGGCAGTGAAGATGGCAGCATCTGGCAGGTAGAAGGCCACACGTCACACGTGCTCAAGCAGGTTGACACTGATCAGAAAACTGTCGGACCACATTGTGCTCACCCTCTGCCTGTGAGATAGCAGAAGAGCTAAAGCTAGTTTTTATATGAGTTATAGTAAGAGAGGAAAACAGTATGTTTCTCCTTCACAGCAAGGCCTGGTAGATGTGGACATCCCAGTGACTCTGAAAACACATGGCATACTGCAAGAAAACTCAAGGCAGAAGTTTCTGTAACTTTGGTGTTGCAAAATGGACACAACATAACTTGTGCCAAGAAAAGCTTAAAAATGCTCTGATAGGCATAGGCTACAGAACTCTGGGTAATTTCCCAGAAGACAGTGCAAGCCACCGGGAGAAGTTGGCCTGGGGAAGGGAAGGAATGAGAATGTGTGGTGTATAGGAAGAAGTTGGTAGACAGACATATCAGGGGGTTTTTTATATAAATTTTTTAAGAATTATTTTTATTTAATTTTATTCATTGTCATTGTTGTTTTCAATTATTTATTTAATTTTATTTATTCATTCATTTATTTTAATTTGACCAGAGAGAGAGACACACACATAGAGAGAGAGAGGGAAAGTGAGAAAGCAGGCCACTAGATCCAGGACTCAAACCATGATCAGCCATGTGGGAGTGTCCAGCGCCTTAATCACCACGTCACCTACTGGTCCCATCATTGTTTTCTTTTTTCTTTTTTCTTTTTGAAGTTGACCAGGGAGAGAGAGAGAGAGAGAGAAGGAAAGTGAGAAAGCAAGCTGCCAGGTCCAGGACTCAAACCATAGTCAGCCATGTGGAAGTCCAGCTGCCTTAACCACCACACCACCTGCCAGCCCCAGGTTTTTAAAACTAAATCTTAAAAAGGCAACTACCTGGTCCCAAAGGATCTAACTCATAAGACTTCTTGTGCACTTGAGACACTTTTTGGTATTTAAGGAGTCATTTGGGGAGACTGTCTCCAAAGACAATTGATCTCTTTCAGCCGCAACCAGTTCAATCACAGGGCACTGTCTTGGAGTTAGTTATAACTAAATCTGCTCAACAGAGAAAACAAATTCTTACTGTCCCTTTATCTTGTCGTAATCTCGATTGGTAAGTTTTGGCCCCTCTCTGTGCTGGGTGTCTTGCTGAATGCTGAGAACACTACAGCAGACAGCTAACAAGGTCCAGCCCTCAGAACTTTCCATCTAGCAATTGGCACTGAAGAAAAACAGCAGGTTGACCCAAGGCAGTGTGACAAGCCCTTTTCCAGGGAAGCTCGGGGATCAAGTAAGTTGCCTAGAGATCAGGTAAGTTAAGAACTGAAAAGTCCCCAGAGAATGTGAGCAATGAGATGACAGGAGACCCTGGAGAGCCGGTGTAAGCAGTGATGGAAGCAGACACTGCTCAGGGTGGCTTGAAGAGTGGATGGAAAGAAGTTGGAGCATTAAGGGCAGTCAAGTCCTCTGACGAATTTGTGAAGTGGAAGTTGGCATGCAGTGGGGACTATTTAATCGTTGTTTTCCAAACTGAAAGAAACTCGAACACATTTCAGGGCTGATGGACAGAGCCATATACATTAGAGGAAGAGGCCAGTCTCCACAACATTTCATCTCTAAGAAAGAAAGGGAGAGGGTTACAGGGGTGTGTTGGGAGGGATAGTTGTAAACCAGGGGAGGGATGCCCCCACACACACTCACTTTAATAAGGAAGGCAGACAGTTGTCAGTATGGGTAAGTCCCTCCTTTAGTGGCGGGAGGTTGATCAATCTGTTGGCTCTGTCTCTCTCATTGACGGTGGAGAAGAGGTCGCCTGCTGAGGGGGAGAGGAAGCAGCAGAGCTGGAAGAGGGGAGGTAACACCATCCACTAATGCTAGGGACCTGAATTTTATGAGCCACCAACCTGGTTTGTTTCTTTTCTTTTTGTCCTCGTAGAAATCAGCAGCCAGATGTGCAAAAGAGCAAATAGTTAGCTCTGTGATACCCTCAACCCAGTGGAATGTGTGACACTTTCTTTCGATATCTTTCATCCTAATATTATTTCCTTCGGGAGAAAGAAAACATTTTCTGGTCCTTTTAGGAACAATCCCATAATGTTCAATACCTACTGTACTTTTGAGAAGCTCGGCTGCATTCAAGGAGCTCCACCCTCAACCCTATGACCACCCCCCTTACACCCTCTTTTAAACCCTCAGCTCCTTTCTCCTTTGCCCCTCTCTGTGGTACGTATATGCTGCCTGTGGTTATGGATGGTACTCATCAACCTCCCCCAGCTCCTAGGGAAGGAACCTAATGTTCAGAGCACCTACTACGCTTTCAGTTGTTTTAACTTCAGTAATGTCACTTACATCCCCACATCATGGGGAGAGGGGAGATATTATGCCTAGAGAGGAGGAAGTTAAAGCTAGAACCTAAGGTCACTTGGCGACTAAAAGACCAAGTGGGAATTACATCTCAGTCTGTCTGACTCCAAAGCCCATTACTCCATGCTATAAGCTCCCAAAGAGCAAGCAATGCTCTGATCCATCATTATATACCTCATGGGAACTCAGACAGCACTTTGCACATAGAAAATGCCTGATAAACATTATTGATCTGAACTATGACCTGACCCCTTAAATATCTTTAGTGTTGTGGCATTTTAGTGTGTGCCCCCAAGTTTCTTTGAAGAACCGTACCATTCTGTTTCCTTGAAAAAAGTGCTCAGTAATATTTAGCCTTGTGATTCTATTTACAACATAAGACTATGCAACTAAACTATATCTGCTATAGTGAAATTTTGCAAAAAAAAAAAAAGTCAAATTAGTTCATTTTTAAAGAATTATTTTATTCGGGACCAGCAGTTAGCGTAATGGCTATGTCACTGGACTCCCATGTAGTCGACCGCAGTTCGAGTCCTGGACCCGGCGGCTTAAACTCACGCCAGGCGCGTGCGCGTGTGTGCCCAGGATACCAAGAGGAGAATGGAGGAGAAGGGATTGCGGCATGGCCATCCCCTCTGGAGGGTGATTTCTCACTTTCTGTCTCTCTGTCTCTCTCTGTCTTTCTGGTGAGTGCACGCGCCCTATAGCAAAAACCTCTCCAAAAAAAAAAAAAGAATTATTTTATTTAACTTTATTTATTATTATTATTTTCCAGTTTGATCAGAGAGAGACAGACAGCGAAAGTGAGAAAGTCACCAGGTCCTGGACTCGAACCACAGTCACACATGTGCGAGTCCGGCACCTTATACCACCACATCACCTGCCAGCCCAAATTAATTAATTATTTTTAAAAGGTTGTGATGAAACCATGAGTGCTGAGAACACCCAGCCCTGGGTGGGAATGCACAAGACTAGAAATGAGGCTGGGGAAGCACACCCTTCGTCCAGAATATCTCTGGGCTCGGTCACATCGGGGTAACAGAAAACTCTACCAAGAGCTGTTTCTTCTCTATGAGTATATGGAATAAAGGTGTCATGGATTCCCTAAACTGGAGCCATGTGCTTCACAATCTTGCACAGAATATTTCTACTCTAACAGTTCCACATTATAATGGTGCTGTCTGTTTATGTCCTTGGCTGTCTCACTGGACAGGGACTAGGTAAGAACTGTTTCTTTGGTATCTTCATATCTCCATGACACAAAGCTTGTTAACAAAGAAAGTCTATCCAAATTATTAAGTGTTTTTTAGGTTCAACAACAGTATCACTTGTCCTAAGTTTATATTCTGGATAAGAAAATGGTAAACTTCTTATAGGTGAGTTTTTCAATTTGATAATCCCATCATGGAATTATCAACGGTTCATGCTGATGGTACCAACAAAGAAAACCCCACACACAATCTCCTGTGTGATCACTATAATATTACAGATGAACAGAAGTAGGAACAAATTCCACTGGAAACTATGCTCTTTTTGTCTTTCAGGAGTATAACATGTATGGCTGGTGGGTTGGAGAACTGAACAGTATCATTGGGATTGTTCCAAAGGAGTATCTCACCACCGCCTTTGAAGTGGAAGAAAGATGAAGCCCAGGTATCAGAATCATTGTCGATGAACTGCCTGTTCATTGAGTGAAATTTCTTTGCCATGACTACATTTCTCTGTGAAAGATGAGTTGCTGGGAAAGTAGCTTTTCTTCATTCCTAATAGTAATGTTAATGATTCACCATTGAAAGAAAATGGGGCAGCTTGTAGCCTGGGGGTTGAGGGAGCCAGATCCCACATGGCTGAACACTCAGTTAGAGTCTCAGACCCAGGGGTTTGAAAAACATGTAGGCACATGTGTGTGCACGTCTCAAATCCCAAAGTGATAGAGAAATGGAAAAGAAAGGTTTATGGTATGGCCACACCTCATTGGCAAGTGCTCTTTCATCTCCTTTTTTTTTTTTTTTTTTTTAGGAATTATTTAATTTTTAAATTTATTCATTCATATTTTTTTTTAATTTGACCACACACAAACACACACACACACACACAGAGAGAGAGAGAAAATAAGCCACCAGGTCCAGGATTCGAACTGTGGTCAGCCACGAGGGAATGTCCAGTCCTTAATCACCACACTACCTGCTGGTCCACCCATCTCCTTCTCTTTCTCTCTCTCTCTCTGGTAAGTCTGGAATTGTTCTTTCCTTAATTCTGGAACTGTGCAACTTAGAATTAGGTTCAACTAAAAGTAACCCCAAAAATAAAATAAATTTAAAAACAACGACTTAGTTAACACAGAAGTTTATTTTCCTCTTCTGTAAAAATCCGGAGGTAAGTGATCCAAGGTTTCCAGGTTCCAGGTACCTTCTCTTTTTGCTTCACTGTGTGTGGCCACCATTCCCAGGGTTGCTTCATGACCAAGATGGATGCTGCCACTTCAGCTATCCTGACTGCATCCCATTCAGCATGAAAGGTAAAATGAAAGTAGAAGGATATACCCTCTTCCTTAGGGACACTACACAGATGTCGGGCACACCATTTCTGCTTACATTCCATTGACCAGAAGAAGCTTCATTTTAAACAGCCCTATGTCTGGCTTGAAAGCATTTAAATAAAAAATAATAAAGAATGGCTACTGGGAGACAACTAAATTTTTTTGCCACAATGATCAACCTGGGTTTCTTATCCCTACCTCTCAAATCCAGGGCACTGTTTCTCCAAAATTCCCCCACATTGTAATATTACGGACCAAGATTAGGAATCCAGTATAAGAATTCCTTTTTTAATTGCCAGAGGGTGCATGTACTCACCAGAGAGAACAAGCGTTCACCCTCCACAGTAGGGCATGATCACACCACAATCCTTTCTCCTCCATTTCTCCATCCTATCAGGATTTGGGGCACACATGCTTACACACTCAGTATGTTTTTTCAAGCTTCCAGGGCCAGGATTAGAACTGCAGTCCGCCATGTAGAATTTGGTTCCTATACCTAGTTCTTAACTGCTGCACCATGGGACCAGCCCCAGTATGAAGTTTCCTATGGAACATGTCAGATTAACTTTCTTTTAATTGCCAGAGGGCATTTGTGCTTGCCAGAGACAAAGAAAAAAAGCATCCCTCAGTGCAGCATGGTTACACCACAATCCCTTCTCCGTTTCTCCATCCTGTTGAGATTTGGGGCATACACATGTACATGTCCTGTATGTTTTTCAAGCCACTGGGGCCAGGATTCAAATTGCAATTAGCCCAGAGGGATTTGGCCCTCTTAAACAATAGGCCTCAAATTCACTTTTTAGTAAAAAATTAATATGGTATGTGTTTTATGAGTAAGAACTACACTGTGCTTTAAAACAGTGAGAGTGAGTGCTTGGATTGGGTGAGATAACAGTGGTAGACTGGATTTGTTTAGAAGTAGGATGGGGGAGGGAACCAGCAGTTAGCATAATGGTTATGTCGCTGGACTCCCACGTAGTTGACCACGGTTCGCGTCCTGGACCCAGTGGCTTAAAACTCACGCCGGGCACGTGTGCGTGCGTGCCCAAGATCCCCAGAGGAGAATGGAGGAGAAGGGATTGCAGTGTGACCATACCCCCTGGGGGGTGATTTCTCTCTTTCTGTCTCTATGTCTCTCTCTGTCTGTCTGGCGAGCGCACGCACACTATAGCCAAAAAAAAAAAAAGAAAAGAAAAAAGAAGTAGGATGGGGGCCAGTCAATGGTACAGAGCTTAAGGTGGCTGGATCCCACTTGACCAACGGTGGAGTTAAAGTTCTGGACCCAGTAACTTAAAAATCATGCCGGGCATGCACAAAATCCCTAGCAGAGAATGGAGGAAAAGGGACTGTGGTGTGCCCATTCCCTCTGGGGTGGTGGTGGTGGTGATTTCTCCCTTTCCCTCTCTCTTTCTCTCTCTTTCTCTTTGTCTCTGGCAAGTGCACATGCCCTATAGCAAACTAAAAAAAAAGTAGGATGGCGGGCCAGCCCCATTGCCTAGTGGGTCAGGGAGCCAGATCCCACATGGTTGGCCACAGTTAAAATCCTGGCCCCAGCAACTTGAAAAAATGCCAAGGATGAAAAAATGAAGAGGTTGCAGTATGACCACACCTCATCAGGGGTGCTTTCTCCACCTCCGTGTACCCTCTAGCAATTAAAAAAAAAAAAAGTTAAAAATATTTTAAAAAGAAGAAGATGAAAGAATTGGCATGGTGGTGGAGGGCACTGAAGACTAGCATGAAGTTGCTAGCTCCATCTTGCAGCCTGTAATAGAAGCAGCCTTTGCTGTGGATGAAGGATGTCACAGTGTGGCAGTGATGCAAACTGTCCTTGGAGCCTTCCTACCAGGGCCCACTCTGGTGTGCAGCAGCAGTTGAGTGAATCCATTTAGGAGAATGCATAACTATAGGTCTTACTCTCTGATGTCCTTGGACAGCCATGAAGCACCAGCTCAAGTCTGACTTCATGGTCAAGGTTTGACTTCATGACTTTGAGGAGGAGAGCGCGTGTCCTGGTCATGAGTGCAGAAGGATTGGATTTTTCTGTCAAATCAAAATAATTCATGCGACTTTACTTTGTTATTTATTTAAAGATGTCTGGCTCTTCATTCTCTTTGATCCAACAATTCCACGCCTATGACTTTATCCTATACCACTCTTTGCACACATGCAAAATGATATGCATGCAGGTTATTTGCAGTAGCAAATGACTGGAAGTGACCTAAATGATCAGGAGAGAGTTAGTCAAGTAACAAGTGCATACTATGCAACAGTTAAAAAGAAAGGGGGGAGACCAGCAGGTGGTGAGGTGGTTAAGGCGCTGGACATTCCCACATGGCCGACCACAGTTCGAGTCCCACACTTGGTGGCTTGCTTTCTCACTCTCCCTCTCTCTATATTTCTCTGGCAAAACTCATGTGAAAATAAATAAATAAATAATTCTTTAAAGAAAAAAAAAAAAGAAAGAAAGAAAGAAAGGGAAGCTGTTACAGAATATATTCTGAAGTATGTTGTTAAGTTTTTAAAAAGTAGCAGGGCCAGCCCTGTAGCCTAGTGATTAAGGGAGCTGGATCTCATATGACCAACCACAGTTCAAATCCCAGCCTCATTGGCTTGAAAAACATGCTGGGTATGTATGTGTGTATGCTCAAAATCTCAACATGATAGAGCCATGGAAGAGAAGGGATTGTGACATGGCCATGCCCCTTTGGGGATGCTTTCTCCTCTCTCTCTCTCTCTCATGAGTGCACACATTCTCTAGCAATTGAAAAGTGGGAGTGGAGCAGAGGAAATAAAGCAGCAAAGAAGGATAAGTTAAATTTGCCCCCTTTGTATAACAGTGGAATGGAGACTGGCTACCTGTTTATACATGTATGAGGTATTTTTAGAAGGGGTTAGAAAATTATAACATTGGTTGCCTCCAAGGACAGAGAAACTGCATAACTGTGAGACAGGGTAGCCAGGAAGACATTTCACTCTGTGCCCTTTTATACGTCTATATTTTCAATCATAAAAGAAAAATTCATCTATTTTTCCTCCTTTAGGAAACGTATTTTCTCTATCCTGCCTCCATGAAGACACAGATCATCAAGAGCTTTTACTCCCCACTCCTGCCACCTCACCAACACCACGGACTCCTCTCTTTATAGAAGGGACCTAATTCTCTGTCACCTTATAGTGCCTGTAAACCACCAGTAAGACGGGTGGGACGAGGCATCTTCATCACACCTGCTACTAAACCAGCCCCGTCATAGCTCAGCCCGTCTAAACGTAGTCACTCACCCACATCTGCCTTTTCCACGGGCTTGTCACAGAGAAGGTGAGAGAGACGGGAACCTGGGGAAGAGGAAGTTGCTAGTTGTTTTGGCGGTTTTGAACAGCACAAATAAAGTTCAGATTTGGTTTCCTGCCTTGTGTGATGGTGTTGAGTTCCTTTTTGTCATGGTTTCAAACTGTGGGCTCCAGGGTTTTTCACAGCCTCCAAACAAAGTGGAAAGGGACAGGGAAGAAAAAAAAAAACAGAAGCCTAGACAGAGGAGACTTGGATTGCCTTCCAGAATAGAACCCTCTCTGGTACCCAGGTCTGCTGGTTTCTGGTTGGCTACTTTGTTGTTTTCCATGTGCTGAATCTCTCTTAGCAGAGACAGAGCTGAAGTAGGGCCAAGAGTCAGCACACTGGAGAGTTCCTCTTCCACCTGGGGTTAGATACCAGCCCCACTGGGTCCTGCATGCCAGGTGTGAGGTAGGGGCTGAGTTAGTGCTCTGGGGAGGGCTCCTGCTCACAAGGCTCCGTTTCCCTTTCCTGTTGCCTGTACCTTGTGCCCAGGCTGGTTGTGTGTTGAAGAGACAGCAAAACATAGTTAAGAACATAAACTTTGGGGGTTCAACAGTGGTGTGGTGATTAAGGTACTAGACTCCCACATGGCCAGCTGCAGTTTGAGTCCCAGACCCAGCGGCTTGAAAATCATTCCAGGCGCATGTGCATGTGAGCTCAAAATCTTGAGAGGAGAATGCAGGAGAAGGGATTGCAGTGTGGCTATCCCCCTTGAGGGATGATTTCTCACTTTCCCCTCTCACCGTGTTTCTGTCTCTCTCTAGTGAGCACATGACCTACAGAAAAAAAATCTCTCTAGAAAAAAAAATATATATGTCTATTAAAAAAAGAACAACAACATAAACTTTGGAACCCGCCTGGGAATAAATCCCAGTTTCCTGTTACTGTTTTCTCTAGAACAGTAATTTGACATTTTATGTTTCTATTTCCATACCTTAGAAGGGTATACTCTTTCTCACTGGGTCACTTGATAATCAGGAAGATTAAAGAATTTACCATGTGTAATATACTTGGAACAAAACTGCCTAGCACATAATAATTGCTCAGTAAGAATTAGCTATTCTTTTTTTTTTTGAATTTTTCTTTCTTTTTTTTTTTTTTTTTTTGCTATAGGGTGCATGCACTCGCCAGAAAGAGAGACAGAAAGCAAGAAATGACCTCCCAGAGGGATGGTCATTCCACAGCCCCTTCTCCTCCATTCTCCTCTCGGGATCTTGGGCGCGCACACACACGCATCTGGCGTGAGTTTAAGCCATGGAGCCTGGGACTCAAACCACAGTCGACTACATGGGAGTCCAGCAACGTAACCATTACGCCATCTGCTGGTTCCCAGATAAGGTAGTCTTACTGCCTGACTGCACAAAAAATTCTGAGAGAGGTGACTGCGCAGCTACTGAAGTTTTATTACTGAAAATGCCTGTTCAGAGCAGTCCTGAATTTGCATCAGCCTTCCTCTGTAATGACCACATTGTAGCCCCAGTGTGAAATCTTACCTTACAAACCAGGGAACAAATTGACATATTGGTAGATTCCAAGTTTTTTTGTTTTTTGTTTTTTTAAAGGTACACACTTCGACTATTCCTTTCCAGATTTTCTGACCTAGGCATGAAAAAGGAAACCCTTTTGTGTAGGATGAATAAAGAGGTAAGAAAAGGAGACAAAAAGGGGGAGGCAGGGAGTGTGAGCTAAAAGGCAACACATTATGGAAGTGTCCATTCCCCTGCTTCACACAGGATGCTAAAGGAGAAGAAACCACTAGGTGGCAGCATATGAGCAGGTGAACCAAAGAGAACCAATTGCCTTTCCTTTTAGGAACCTTTGCACCAATCCCAACCCACAGGTAAAGACAAAGGGCATTGTTCTAAAGTGGTTAACAGAGAGGGCAAACACCAACCTCTTCATGCCCCAACCCATCCTTCCTAAGGGTCCAAAGCTGAAAGGCTGGGTGGCTGGGTGAGAAAACCATTGTGCCACCACCGATCTGTGACTGAGAGACATCATCAGAAAAGGGAACCGTGGAAGAGGAGGAGAAGGGCAAGGTACTTCTTCACTCCCACACAGTTCAGCCCTCTGTAGATAGCATGGCCATTGGCTTCCAGCATTTAAAACAAAATCCTTTAGTGCAGTGGTCTCTCCTGTAGACCAGAAGAAACAACCATTCATCAAACTGCAAAGGTCTTTCACCCCTTCCTGCACCCTAGGGTAGGCACTATATTCAGACCTCTGGCCCTTCCAGCTATAAAACTGAGGGGCCAGCAGGTGGCGTGGTGGTTAAGGGTGCTGGATTCCCACATGGCTATCGACAGTTCGAGTCCCAGACCTGGTGGCTTGCTTTCTCAGTTTCTCTCTCTCCTTCTCTCCCTCCCTCCTTCCCTCTCTTCTTATCCAGTCAAAATAAAATAAAAATAAAATAATTCTTAAAAAAAATACTGAGCAGGAATAGAGATTAGATTGGCCCTCAAAGATAGGAACAATGGGCTGATTGCTGATTGGAAATCTGGTCTGTAGCTGTTGTAGCTTTCTCTGACATTAATACACACGATATGTTACCAAGAAAAAGCAGAGCAAATTTGCCAAGCTGATGAGACTATCTGCAAGCTGAAGAGCATCCTCTGTGATGGGAAAGTTCTAAAAGAGACCCTTTGGAAGCAGCGAATTCCTACAGTCTGTGGGAAACTAAACCTTGCCCAGTAAAACTGCTCTCTCCTCAAATCTCCCAACTGACTGATCTGATTACCATTTCTCCATTGGACTTACTAACCAAGTCCCCACCTCACTGCCTGCCACTAACTGGATAACTGGGACATTAGACTACTTAACTAGCCACATTATGTATACGATGACTACTACTACTTTTTGTTTTTTTTTGGGGGGGGGTGAGGTTTTTTGTTTGTTTGTTTGCAATAGGGTACAAGTGCTTGCCAGCAAGAGAGAAAGGAAAAATGAGAAGTCCCAGGAAGGGATGGCCACACTGCAGTCCCTTCTCTTCCGCTCTCTCGGGATTTGGGGCATGCACGCACATGTACCCAGTGCATGATTTTCAAGTCCTCTGGTCCAGGACTCAGACTGCAGTCAGCCATATGGGAGTCCAGTGCCTTAACCACCACACCACCTGCTGGCCCAGGATGGCTTCTTAATTGACCAATTGGTAGAGGTAGGAGGCTTTTTTCCCTTCCATTTTATGTACAGAAGGGAAAATAAAGCCAAGGTCCTACATTTAAGAAAGCAAATGTATCTACCTTTTGCAAATAAGTATTTACTAGATCAGTACAGTTTGATGTGCATTGTCCGTGCTAACATCTGAAAATTCGAAATGCTCTGAAAGCAATCCTTCAGCTACATTTCATTTAAAATCCATTTTTCCCTAGTGTGATTTCTCTGTCATCCATATAGCAAAATAACATAGACACTGTTTTGTAATTACCTCAATATTAACTTTTCCCTTATGATGGCCTGTTGCGCCTCTTAGAAATCTGTATTTAATTCTAAACCAGTACACCTTTCCCTCTGGTGAATATAAACAGGAAAGAAAAGGAAACTCTTATTAAGTCTCGTTCCCTAAGTCAGGTTGATTCCGTTTTCAGTGAGAGCAGTTCAAAGATTGGGACTGACTAGATGACCTCGCATCTGTTGGAGATACTTTATTAAAGCAAAGTTAAAGAGTAGCCTCACTCTCTCCAGTTACCTTTGAATTTTTTTTTTAAGTATTCTAGCTTCCCTAGGTACACCCCTTATTTATAACTAGATAATCTTTGTGAGTGACAAAACTGAACATCTGAAAGGTTGTGACTGGTTGGCTGAAATCGTACACAATCTGCAGTGAAAGAAGAAAGACCTTTGAAATGCTCCAGCGGCTGCTTTGCTTATTGACTCACTCGAGTTCTATTGCAGTTAGACACCTCCAGTGAGACATTTTCAAAATCCACATTTCACGCCAGTCCCTGGCATCACAATAAAGCAGCGGTATGAATGCAAAGCGCAAGATAACGCATGTGGCGGGGGAGGGCTGCCTTTGCAACCAGTCTGAGATGGAGTTGAAGGGAAGCAAGAAGGGAAAAAAAAAAGAAGAAGAAGAAACGAAAGTATGTCCTTTATTTCTTTATTTGCACCTCAAGAACAAAACTCAGATGCCAGGGACAGCGATGCTTTCATCTTTGGCAAAAACAAAACCAAACAAAACCCTCTCTACAGGTCTCTAACCAGAAGCAAGTCCGGGAGGATACATCTTGAGAGGTGCCGATTTGTTAAATTCCCAGCGCACCAGCAAAATCTGCAGTGCTGACTTTGGAGAAAGCAGCTCTCTCCAGAGTATTATCCCTACTACACAGCCCAGTGGCTCAAACTCATTTTCTAGTTTGTGGATTACCATAGTCCCTTGCCCCTTCTCTCCCTCCCACCCAGCTATTTCATTTCCCACTAGAATGTACAGAGATCGGGTAAGGCATTAGAAACTTACAACCAAAAAGATTTTTTTCCAAGGGTTTTGAGTTATTCTCCCTATTTTCCTATCAAAAACTGTTCAGAAAAACATACTGTTTTTCTCCTTAGTATGAACTGATGACCACTCTTTGGAATTCAATTAATGATACACTTTAAGATATAGCCCATTTTGTATAAAACTAATTTATAATGGTAAAAAAAAAATACTGTTTTCAAGGAAACCAGTATAACTAATAGAGTAAATGTATATTTTCCAAACTGAGACATTTTCTAAATGAAGTTATTAATAATGATGCCGAGACCCCAGGTGTAAACTGAGGTGCGTGGTCATGCTAAAAATTAAGTCAAATGTGGGTTGCCCAGTCACCTGGGAAGGGAGTGGCAGAGAAAGAGCTGACCTGGCTCTCCTGGTATGAGACTTGGCAGCATCTCTACTAATGAAGTCCTCTCCCCTACAGGCCTGGTTTTGAGACAGACCCTGCCAACTGGGCTTTCTTTTCCTGATGCCCATACGGCTCTAAGAGGCCTGGTGGTCCTGGCATCCAGCCGTTTGTGGGCCTGGCTGGCTGTCAGCAGCTGTGTGTGTTCAGTTTCCTCCCGGGGTCCATCATAGTCTGCCACCCATCCACCTGGCAGGGTGCCACCAGAGGGAACATTTCTATGGCACTGGGCAATAGTATGCCACTTCCTTGCCTCCTGGAAAGAGAGTGAGTTCCAAGAGGTTTCTAGTGATGGCCCTCAAAGAGGGCATCTGGTTCCCCTGCAGACGCTCTCAACCTGATGGTGAGCAGCTGGCTCCCTCTGTCCCCC